GGGGGGGGGGGGGGAGTCAATACCCTAGTAGTACAGGGTCTCAGGGCTATCCTCAGGCCAGCCATGGTATGAGTTTGATTCTCAGCCATGGGGGTGATCCACATGACACAGCAGACCTCTTTTGTTTTGCCCGCTGTTCCCCTAAGCAGTATATTTCAGTATATCTGCCTATTCTGCTCCCCACTGTCTCTGATGAATCCTCTTACCACTCTTCTTGAACCTCTGGCCTACACCCCAGTTCTTATATGCATAAATAAAAATACATCTTAAAAAAAAAGTCAAGGTAAGGCTGAATGGAATGCAGTATTTATTAGGTATTTATAATGTGGTCTGCAGGAATGGTCAGAAAGAAGTATTAGTATTATCATTCCTAGGACTTTAAAGTCTATAAATCCGTAATGTACCAAGTCTTATAGATGGTAAAATGTTGTCCATTAAAGGAGACATTTAATTTGACAGACATTTGCTGCAGATTTTAAAAAACAGGCAAAGGTGGACCCCATTCCAGATTATGGTCTGCTTCTCCTTCCATGTGGATAGATAGGGTCCTTCCATGAGGCAATCCTTCACTGGCAATATATTGAGGATAACAATAAAGTTTATCAGTCATTCAAAGTAGAATTACTCTTGGGTTACCAGAAAAGTTATGATAATTTTTTTGTTTTACTCCAAGCAAAAATGCATCATGATTTTTCCAGCAATCTGATTAATTTAAAAAGCAAAGGATATTTCCTATTTGCTATTTACTTATGAAATAATGAATGTTATTTAGATAAATATATCAGAACTTAAACCTTCTAGCAGATGTTTTCTTTTCTATTGATTGTTCCTCAGAAATATCTGAAGATTCTCTTTTGAAATGGTCTCCCTAAATGGTTTCAAATGGAAGAACACAAATATAATTTTCATAAAAATAATCAAATGCAGTTGACCAAAAAAACTTCTGGCAATATGAAAATAACTTTTGCAAAGGGTGAAATTGTACTATTGTACAATGAAGACTTCTAAAATTAACATTTTGAAAATGTTCCAAGAACATCCTCAGATTGCCCCAAAGTAGTAAAACACAAAGGAAAGACAATCCTTGAATTTTACTATTTCCAGTGGATTCTTATAATTGCTGTCATTCTTAAGAAGTGTCACCTAATTTTCTCTAGTTGGTATATTAGTTAGCTAGAGTCAACTTAAGCTACTAATTTTTTTTCCATTTCATTCTACTATTCCCTGACTTCACTCTCCTCCCCAGCATACGCTCTTCAAGCACACACGCACTTACCATCTGGAGCATATCTGGAGGATATTCCTAAAATGACTGCAAGTGCAACAAAAAATAAGAAACTAGTAATAGCAAAGCAAATGAAAGTATTTTTGTGCCTTCTCTGCTTTTGGCTTTCTCTCTGGGTTTGCTGTTCTTCAGATGAAAAAGCAAAGGTAGCCCGGGCTTCCTGTCTGATGGAGGTAAATTTGGCTGAAGCTTGGCTCTTTGGAGGAGGAGGGGGACGCAGTGGGACAACCTTCCCTGGAACATAGCCAGATGAGCGGTGGCTGCTTCCATTCTGAGGCTGCAGGAAAGCAGGGGCGTGTCCCCTGGAATCAGTGGTATACATTATCCACTGTCACTGTGAAAAAGAAAAAGTTAAGGTTCAGAAATCTGAGGATTAAATGACTTTTAAAAATACATTAATACTGTTATAACATAATTCAGGGAGGCATAGGGAAGTATGGAGTAGCTGAATTATTATTTCATGTTCTCTGATAGGTGTCTTTTGTCCTCCAGTCCAGAAAGGTAAATAAAAGTTCCCCCAAAAATTATGGTTTGGAAATCAAGGTGATTAAAACCTTGTGAAAACACTTGTGAAAATAAAGATAACTGACTTATATCCACAAGATTCCCCTCTCTCAGTAATAGTACATGCAACATAAAAGTAATTCTTACCAGGCCCTCCCTGGTGGTGCAGCAGGTTAATGCACTGCACTATGAAGCTTAAGCCACTTCCTCATGAGTTCAATCCCTGCCTGCTCCGGAGGAGATCCACATGGTGAGGCAGACCTCTCCTGACCCGCCCGCTGCTCCCCTCAGCAGTGTACTTCATCCATCTGCCTGTTCTGCTCCCCACTCTGTCCCTGGTAAATCCTCTCACCCTCCGCATTTCTGGACTGTACCCCAGTTCTGTATGAATAAATAAATAAATCTTTTAAAAAAATAATTCTTACCATTAATTACTTGCCAAACAGTATACTAAATGCTTTAGAATAATAATTTCTAGTTCTAAAATCATACTTAGGGACCTCCCTGGTGTCTCAAGGGGTTAAAACACAGCACTAGGAAGCTATGGGCGGCCACTGCAGCATGAGTTCAACCCCTGGCCAGGGAGGTGACCCACATGGTGCAGCAGACCTCTCCTGTCTCACCCGCTGCACCCTCAGCAGTGTATTTCAGTAGATCTGCTTTGTCTGCTTCCCACTCTGTCTCTGGAGAATGCTCTCCACAGCCCCCAAACCCCCAACCCCGCATCTCCAGCCGTACACCAGGTCTTCTATGCATAAATGAATAAATCTTTAAAAAAACCATACTTAGGTAGATGGGTAAACTGGTTTTAAAAACTAAAAAGAGGCCCTCCCTGGTGGCACAGTGGGTTAGAGCACAGCACTGAGAAGCTGGAGCCACTTCCGCATGAGTTCGATCCCTGCCTGCCCTGGAGGTGACCACATGGCATGGCAGACCTCTCCTGACCCATCCGCTGCTCCCCTCAGCAGTGTATTTCGTCGATCTGCCTGTTCTGCTCCCCACTCTGTCTCTGGTGAAGCCTCTAGCCACCCCTGAACCTCTGGCCTATACCCCAGTTCTGTAAGCACAAATAAAAAAAAAAAACTAAAAAGAAAAATGAAGCTTATTCAAGTTTAATGACTCATCTAAGGTTAGACAGCTGGTAAGTTTCAGTATCAGGGTTTAAATCCAAACTTTCCTTCTACACCATAAAGCACTGTCTCTATAGCAAAATTGATGGACTATACTCTTCTCATTATTTTAATCAAATTTAATATGTAAAATCCCAGACATGGCTTAAATGCTTGCTTACTGAAATACCACAATTGCCATGAGGTCTACTTTCCTGCATTTTCTGTAGACTTTGCTGCCACCCCAAAAAACGCAAAGGATGTCTATCCTGAGATATAGCAGTCCCTAGTCCTAAGAAGGATCTTCTGTGATTCGACCAAGGACAGAGTTGGACACATGCTTCCCACACAGGAAGGACTGCTCTGCTCCAGGCATTAGGCACACTTAAGATTTGGAATAGAATGCAAAGCCGTTCAAAGCTTTAATGTACAACAGAAACGTGTGGGTCTTAGTGAATTTTTCAGAGCAGGTTTTCAGTGACACCAGCTTGTCCCCAGAGATTCTGGCAGGCAACTTCAGGACCTTTACACTCACGTAATCAGTACATCCAATTGTTGTGCAGCCTGAAACAGCAGTTGCCATCAGGCCTGTCAACCAGCAGCTGAAAATTCTCCTCCATTGATTTTACAACTTTCCAAACATTACATTCTCCTCTTGAAAGGCTGCATTTTCCCATTGGATCAGAACACATGATATTCTTAGTATTTTTTATTATGGTAAAAAAAAATATATATATATATATATGTGTTACCATTTTAACCATTTTTAAGTGTATAATTCCATGGCACTATGGACACTCACAGTCCACTTCTATCCTTTTCCAGAACATTATTATCATCCCAAATAGAAACTGAGTAACCAAGAACAAGTTCCTATTTCTTCAATCTAGTGCCAGCATGCACCAGGCAGATTCAGGAACTATTTATACAGAGAGAGAAAGAAAATGAAGAATGATGTAAAAAAAATAATAATAAGATAATAATAAAATTTAAAAAGAGAGAGATGAGGAGAGTCCTGGACATCTGTGAATTTTTCAGGCTTTAATGCTCTCTGGCAGCCAGGTACCCAGGGGTTGCTGGGAAGCAGGCAGGTAACCGAGCCTCCCAGCCCCCATCATGAGTCCCCTTTGCTCCCTCTCCATGAATCTTTGCATTCTTTCTCTGGGTATCTCTCTCCAGTCATCTCGTGGCCTCACCTCCTTGGTAGTCACACAGCTCATCCTGCCATGGCCACTGCCACTGCCTTGTTTGCCCCAGTCTCTAGGCTCAGGCATGTACACTTGCGCATGCGTGCTCAGCTCAGGTGTCCACCATCAGGCACTGTGCCCCACTATGGCCCCTGCCTATGCTCCCAAGCATCTTCAGCATGAACACAATCAAGGTGACAGCCACAAATGCTAGTGGCATATAAAGCCTGATAAATTCATTTACCCTACACGCAGTCTCCCAGGGCCTGGTAACCATTATAATGACTTTTCGAAAATATGAAGTCCGCTTACATCCCTAATTACTAAACTATGCAACAGCTACCTTTACTGATTGTCTTCTAATGCCATTGCTCCTTCAGCTGCAAGTCATGGTCACCTGGTAACACCAAGGCCCTGCACCGCACCCCAAAACAACCCAAAGACTGAGGCCCAGATTCAAGCATTGTGTTTTAAATGCTTTCCACATGATTCTAATGAGTGTGTAGGTTGGGGGTGGGGTTTGGAGTTGGGAATCCCTGGTCTAGCACAACTGTTCCCAATTCTCACTATGCATAAGAATCACTGGGAAAGCTTGTAATAAATGTAAATCTCTGGCTCTCCACCCCAGTGAGTCTGGCTTAGACAGTGTAGAGTCCTTCATTTTACATTTTTAAAATATGTATTGGTGACACCTGAAGTAGTTGGTAACACTTCTAGTATTCCTATTCTAGGCTCTTCAAATTGAAGACAAGATCCATGTGTCACATGAAGAACACAAAGTGGCCCAAAAGACCAGCATTGTTCCAACAAGTTCCAAAAGACCAGCATTGGTGTTCAGGTGGTTAATTTTCCCACAAGATTTCTCATGGTAAAACAATGTATTTCTACCTTTGTTTATCACCTAACTATAGACTGAATCTACTTAGAGAGAAAAATCTGACATCTTTATTATCTCCTTAACACCTCACATTTTTGTTAAACAGTAACTGGCATACAAATATTATAGCTAAGGTATAATTCATAAACAAACCAACCAACAGAGAGCAGTTACTGCCAGGCCCTGCCCTAAACACTTTACTAGTATTAAGTTATTTAATGTAACAGATCTATGAGTAGGTACCACTATTCCCATTTTACACAGGAGAAAGCAGAGGCCTACGAAAGTGAATTAGTATATAAAAGACCCAGATATTTGGTCCCTAGAGTTCAGATGCTTTAACAGTTACACTACTGTTTTTCAAAATAACTGCACAGCAATACTCTCAAAGATCCACTTTTGCATGATGTCACTAGAGTCTGAAAGGGCACATTAATCTTAGGAATCCTACATGAAGTTCAAACGATTATACATGATTCTATACAAAAGAAGCTGACACAAAAAAAGGATTTCTCTTTTTATTTTTTGTATTCCCTTTTAATAAGTGCCTAAAAGTTTCTAAATGAAACCTTACTGTTTCTCTGCCAAGTCGAAAAAAAAAAGTTATGCCATGTAATGTTCCGACAGCAATGACTGGATAAATGTTATTCTGAAGCTCAATGGCTTCAGAAACATGATGTTGAACCTTCTCCATTATTCCCATCCTTAGCAACCCGAGCACCCTAGTCGCCTGTCTTCATTCAATATCCTTATAATTATCTCCCTCATCCTCTGCCAAAACAATTAATAAGATCCTAGACATAAGGGTACCTCTAAGTTGCTCTAAACTACAGCAAATCCATAAACACAAAATGTGGTCATTAATGTGACTACAAATGAGCGTTCTCAGGAGCCAAACAACCTGGAAATTAACAGGGATAGAGAGGGAATCGAATCAAAATTGATGTTGACTTTCCCTGGGGCAAAGGACATTCCAGAGCCAGTGTCAGTCAAAAACACCTGGTTTGTGGGGTTTGAGTTCTGAACAAAAGTGGTTAAGCTTAAGCTTCATGACAAAGAAAAACAATACTACTCAAGGTGCTACTGAAGAAAACCACTGCATGAACCCAGCAACCCAGGAAAAGGAAGATGAGTCTGCGGGAGTGAGAGCCTATAAACAAAGACCCCTCCAGGCTCATCCATTAACAAAGAAAGAACTAAGCTAGAAATTTTTGAGTGCCAGGCACACCAGGGTAGGAGGAAATCAGGGCTATAATCTGCTCTGAAAGGGTGTGGGACTCTTTTGTTTGAAGCTGCAATCATCTGATATGTGATTGTTTCAGAGTGAGAAAGGTTGTTATTACTTAACAAACAAAAGGGCCCTTCTGTGAGAGATAATGTCTCCAGATGTACCCACAATAAAATAAAAGGCACTGAGAGTAAATGAAGTCACCATGCACTGGGAGTAACTTGCATCTTCATGGTCACAAAAAAGTATCCTAACATCAAAATGCAAAGGTTTGTTTGCCACCAACTAAAATAGTCAATAAATAAAAAAATAATCACGGTTGCATTTCCCCTGTAAACCTCTTCAAAGCTCTATTATGTATATCGTGAACTCATCTGCTTTGTTTAACATGTCAATGCATAAGTAGTAGATAAGATCATTCTTAAGTAA